ATTTATTATATATACAATATTTGTCTGTGTGTATGCCTTCAGGCCAGGAGAGGGCACCAGACCTCAGTACAGATGGTTGTGAGCCACCATGTGGTTGCTGGGAATTGAACTCAGGACCTCTGGAAGAGCAGCCAGTGCTCTTAACATCTGAGCCATCTCTCCAGCCCCTGTAGTTTTTAAATTTATGCAATCGCTCTTACTGTTCTTAAGTTGTTGGCCTCTTTCCCAGGAAATCTTGGTGTGCACCTGTATTTTGAAGTGTTTCCCTGGCAGCAGTTTCAGGGTTTGCATTAAGGTCTTTGATCCATTTTGATTTATTGTGATAGTTTGAATGTAATTGGCCCTCATAAGCTCATAGGGAGTGACATTATTAGGAGGCACGGCTTTGCTGCGTTAGGTATGGTTTTGTTGGGAGGAAGTGTGTCACTGTGGAGGTGGGCTTTGAGGTCTCATGCCCAGTGTCCTAGACCACTTCCTGTTGCTTGCAGGTCAAGATATAGGACTCTCAGCTCCTTCTGCAGCACCATTGCCTGCCTGCACGCCCCCATTGCACCACCATGGTAATAGACTAAACTGAAAATGTTTGTCCTTCGTAAGAGTTGCCGTGGTCATGGTGTTTCTCTCTCTCTCTCTCTCTCTCTCTCTCTCTCTCTCTCTCTCTCTCTCTCTCTCTCTCTCTCTCGACAGGGTTTCTCTGTTTAGCTTGAAGCTTGTCCTGGAACTAGTTCTGTAGACCAGGCTGGTCCTGAACTCACAGAGATCTGCCTGCCTCTGCCTCTCAAATGTTGAAATTAAAGGTGTGCACCACCACCACCTGGCTTCATGGTGTCTCTTTATGGCAATAGAAACCCTAACTAAGACATTTATTTTTGCATTTTATTTATTACTTACTTGTTTATTGTGTGTGTATACATATGTGTGTGTATATGGGTGCCATGGTGCATGGGTGGAGGTCAGAGGACAACTTGTGGGAGTTGGTTTTCTTCTTCCCCAGTGGGGATACAGCTCAGGTCCTCAGGCTTGGTGGCAGGCCCCTTCTGCCCAGTGAGCCATCTCTACAGCCTTTAGTTAATTTTTGTACAGGATGAGAGACATCAAGTTCTCTATGTGGAAATCTAGCATTCCCGGTCTTTTCCTTGGGGTGTGAATGATAGAGTTAAAAAGGAAGAGAAATGCATGGGTGGTGAGTAAAAACTTGAAAAAAAGAAACCGAAATGCAGTGGCTGGAGAGATGGCTCAGTGGTTAAGAGCACTACCTGCTCTTCCAAAGGTCCTGAGTTCAATTCCTAGGTACCACATGGTGGCTCACAACCATCTGTAATGAGATCTGGTGCCCTCTTCTGGCTTGCAGGCAAAGCATTGTGGATACTGTATACATAATACATAAATAAATCTTAAAAAAAAAGCTGAAATGGTGAAAGTCAACATATATTATTATATATTCAAATCTAGGTTAACACTGTGACTCTATGGCCATGCTTGACACAAAAAGTCTATTGATTATGTTGACATACAGCTTTGTGAAAAAAGGAATAGTAAATGAATAATTTAACATCGGAGGTGATAAAATGACCATGACCACAGCAACTCTTATATGGAAAGCATTTGATTGGGGCTTGCTTTAATCCTTTCAAATAGCGCCACTCCCTGGTGAACAAGCATTCAATTCTGTGAGCCTATGCGGGTCATTTCTTACTCAAACCACCACATTCCACTCCCTGGCCCCCACAGGGTTGTAACCATATATGATGCAAAAACGCATTCAGTCCAACTTCCAAAGTCCCCATGGTCTGTAACAGTCTCAACACTTTAAAAGTTGAAGTCTGAAAGTCTCATTGGCGACTCATGTCAATCTCTTAACTGTAACCTCTGTAAAATCGAAATCACAAACAGATCCCATACTTCCAACGTAATGGCTCAGAATATACATCACCATTCCAGAAGGGAGGAAAAGGAGCATAGTGGGCAAAGACTGGACTAAAACAAGACTGAAAATCAGCCGGACAAGCTCCAAACTCCGCGTCTCCATGTCTGATGTCAAAGCACTCTTCAGAGCTTTGTTGACTGCAGCTGAAGGACCTGGATAAATCCAGACCCCTCTAGCAGGAAAAATAGAGCCAACAACCCAGGTTAGCCAGTTCAGTGACTCTGTTTCAGGAACTAGCTGAAGATAAAGTTAGATTATAATCTTGAGAAACAGGGAGTTACCCCCTTGTGATGACAACTGGTATTTATGGAATTTTCCAATGACGCCCACCCTACCCCCTTTGGATTACTGGGTTGTGGGTTCTTCCCTTAAATACCCCTTCTCCCAGTTACTAGGAGTTGAACTCTCTACCCCTGTGTGGGAAATGAGTTTCAGCCCCAGTGCACTGGTTCCTGTCCTGTCAATAAACCTCATGCGATTGCAGCAAGGACGGTCTCTCGTGAGTTCCTGGGGTGTCGTGTTATCCTGAGACTTGAGTGAGAGTCTCCCCACTCCGGAGGCCTTTCACAGCACATTCTCTTGGGTTGATTCTATTCTCCTGTGCCGGTATCCCATGGCTCTGGTATCTCTAACATCCTGGGGTCTCTAGTGAAATCTAGACTTCACCTTTACAGCTCCATGCAATGGCTTCTCTGGGCCTCCATGCAGGGATGCCCCAACACCTGCCTGGCCTGAAAGGCTTTCTCTAACTGCAGAGGAAGATTCCACACCCCCTTTCTTGTAACCTTGATTCTAAAGCCAAAACCGTGCTGGCTGAAGCTGCCAAATTCTGCTGCTTGCTGGGGCTGGAACATGGCCACCTCGTTCAATTACATTTTTATTTTTTCAATGGTTTCCTTCACTGCTTAAGCTTTTCTTTAATTCATTCACAAACTGGAAGCTTAACTGGGTGGGGTCTCGCCCTGAGGCCACCACAACCGTTATTGAGCACCAGACTTTTCTCTAAACGTTTTATCTCCTTGAGCACTGGATTTCTTTCCATCACGGTCCTTGCGCTCCTTTTCTCCTTAGACTGCACATTTTGTGTTTCTCTTTGCCTCCTTGCTTCTTTTCATTGCAAATATGCATAAGAGTGGCAGCCAATAACCACGACACAGTACTAGGCTATCTTGAAATCTCTGCCAACACCATTAATCCAGAATTCTTCACTTTAGCCTCAGACAGACTT